ATTGCTTTAAGTTTCTGTCCTGAGAAGAGAGCTGGCTGAATGTGTGGACTGGTGGATCTCCGTGTTGGGCTCAGACATTTTTTTTCTACCCTTTTTGCCCCGGGCTGAAGCAGCTGTGAAGCATTCATCTTCGTCCGCTCTGTCACTTACACCGTTTCTCAGTTWATACCACGCAGAACTCATACAGTCCCAGATTCTTTGCTTTAGGCTAATTCTAAACACAACCCCCGTAAAGTAGATGGAACATTAATCTTACATATATCTTTTTGTTCCCCTACTGCTTCCATTTATTCAAACAACATGCACAGAGGATTATGACAAAACTTGATATACTTGCAAACACCAGATCAAGATATCATGAAAGCTGTGCTCCCCAGGCTAGAAATAAAAAAAGAAAGATAAAAAAATAGCTTGTGTGGTTTAACTTTATCCAGACGTGCAAATACCAGTGGAGGTCCTTCTTAGAAGTGGTGGGGTCTGTTTAATGTCCTGTCGGCTTGGAGGATCTGCTCTCTGCTGCCTCCCTTTGTTGATTTTAGCGTACTGATTCGGCTCATTTCATAAACCACCACGTTTTACAGTACAGAGCTCCACAAAGTGTTGATCATCAAATTTCATTACCAATAACCGCAATGAGAYGGCTCACACTATCATTAATATGTGGTGTAGGGAGAGGTGAAGCAGTGGACAGAAGAAACCACAAGATGAGTAAACCTGATCAACTGTCGCGGTTCTSAGATTTGGATCCAGGTTTTTCCATGAAAAGAAACTAAACTTTAAAAAACAAAAAGAGGCTGACATGGAGGTGAACCTTCAGTCTGGAAGACACAGAGAAAACAGGAACCTGAAGAGACGATGGCAAACAGCTGAGCTGAATGAAAAAGGGCGCAGGTGAGAGTGGGCGGGGCATGACTGAGGAAGACTAAACTGATGACACASGAGGAAACTGATCAGACAACAACACAAGAACCCACAAAAACACAACTAAAAGRGTATAATTACTGACACTCTGTGCCATGTTTGCAGATAAGAGCTAAAATTTGGTTTGGTAGCAGCTTAAAGTCATCTTCACTCTAATCTTTCTATGAAAACTTGACACAACGTGTTTGAGGCTGATGTGCATTCCATCCAGGAGCCAAAAGGCCTTTAATTGTGAATGKTTATCACCATTAATATTATTTTTTTCTTCTGTACATTTTTCGGCATGTGTTTTAGAGTTATTTGAACAGTTTGTAAAGCAAAATGTTCAACTCCTTCAGGACATTTCAGCTCTGACCTTTGGTACTTCAGCAATTTATACTTTTTGAGATGTTTAGCTTTTTCTTATTGAAAATGAATGGAGGCATCTTTAACATCCTTAAAACCTTTTAAAATGTTTATAAATCTTTACTGAACTTTTTGTTGGCTCTTTTCACTTCTTTGAGATAACTTCAGCTTCTAATTTCTTCATTTTTAGTCCTTTTTATAGCGTTTTAGCCATCTTTCTGAGCTTTTATACAATTCTTATGCTAATTAAATTTTTGTGCGTATTTAAGCATTTCTCTGCTAATTTCAGTTGTTTTGTGTTTTTAGCTAATTTCAGCTAATTTGAGTTTATTTCAGCCAAATTCGCTTTTTTTATATATAATTTCAGCTTCATGCTTAATTCAGCAAACATGCTCTTACCATTTGTGCGAATTTCAGCGATTTCAGTTACTTTAGGCTAATTTCAGCCTTTTTAGCCACTTCAAAACAAATTACTTATCTTGTCTTTACTCATTTGAAAATGTTAATTTCATTTCCGCATCTAGTAATTTTGAAGTTTTGTTTACTTTTAGCTTCTTTTTGCTAATTTTAGCTACTTTTTTATCTTTTCACTATCTTTCTGATTTTTCTTCTCTTTTGTTGTCCTACTTTCAGCAAACATCAGCTGTTCCAGTTTAACTCAGTTTTATTAAACTTTTAGCTTCTTCAGCAGCTTTCAGCAACATTTTTCAGTATTAAGCACTCACTGTATTTTCTCTAGTTCCATTTCAGTTTTTAAAAGTCTTTAAAGAGTAACTTACCCCAAAATTAACTTTTTATTTTCAAAAAAGCTATCTAAATTGTGTCTTAAAGGTTATATAGTACTATTTCTGTGCTAATTTTGACGTTTTAGTGCATAATTGTGAAAACCTGCAATATTTGGTCCATACTTTCTAAATACTTTCTAAGTCACTAAACTTAACCCACATATTTTATTTAGATTATTTTGTCATTAAAGCTGATGCCAGGAAGTTCTCTTCAGATTAGCTCCTGTAATGGATCAACCCCCATGTGGGTCTCTGAAGCCTTCAGGAGRCTTCATGGTGTCTCCCTCAGCCTGTCAACAGCTGGCTGCCCTCCAGCTGAATTTATGCACAGCAACAATGACTCAGGAATTCATAACTGGAGAAAACTCAAAACAGAAAGAAAAGCAGAAGCTAAACTTTGACATGAAAGTAGTGCTTATTTTTGTGTCTGAAAAAACTGATTTAATGAGGGGAAAATTCTTCAAATTATTAAAACTTTAGTCAAAAATATATCAGCAAGCAAAAAAACCAACAACTTTATTTGAAAGCATCAAACTAATGTACAGATTTAACTTAAATCTTCTAAATTCAGAAATATTTCTTGCTTATTTTCTGCTTTTTAATGATTTTTAAGTGAAAGTTGCTGTGATCTTATCACAATGTTTAGAAATGATAGAAACTGATATCACAGTTAAAGAAAAAAGACAAAAAGAAACTAGTTTCTTTTCTCACTCAGGAGGGATTTTAAGGTAAGAAGCAGATACCAGCAGAGGAAATATTCTGATTACATTGCTGCCAGTTTCTGGGCGTGAGAAATATTATTTATGGATATCATCTTCATTGATGCATTCGGTATGGGGGGTGCGGCGGAATGGTTTGAAGCTGAAGCTGCATGATTTATCAGAGAACAGGACCGTGCTTGCAGAATGAGGGAAATGTCATCTGATGCCGTACGGGTTGCGTGAGCCAAAACATCCGCCAGCCTGTGTTCTCACAGGCCCCCCCTGCAGATGACCCTCACAGAAATTAAACACCCGCTTGAATTCAGGGCCTATASGATTCTGTGAAGGAATAATAATCAAACATGTTCCTAATATGTCTTATAGATCAGCCTCAGCTACTACCACACCAAGTATTAGTTAACTGTTGGCCAAACTGACTGTATTTTTACCCATKTTTGTGCTTTTAAGGCTGTGAATCCAACTATCACTTTCTGCAAATTTTCTTCAGATTTTTGGTGGAGAAGACTTTTTGCTAACAGACACATGCATACACAGGTGCAAGGAAAACAAAATCCCTTTTATTAAGGTGTCAAAAGTATTCACATTCATTAAGGTAAACCTAAAAGTGTAAAAGCAATGGTTTTAAAACAACTTAAAGTGCCTGTGACATGCATATTCTTCAAATACAAAAAGTCAAAGAAAAAAATCTTTATACAGTATTTAAGAATGTTGGAATAAAACATATAATTTTACCCATTTTGTCCCTTAACTGGCCTATTTTCTTTTGAACTTGACTCAGCCAAAGTGAAACAGGAAGTGACATCAAAGGGGAACTCTTTAACAAAAAAAAACTCTCTGGTCTTTTGTTTATTGAAACATTATTTGAACTCTGAATCTTCTTCATCTCTCTGATAGTGACTCAAAATAATCTTAAGAAACATCAGATTCTTCTCTACAGTCTGGGTTGTTGGCTGTTGTAGCAACGCTCTGTTCACATGCAGACATTCCTCTTTGACATCACTTCCTGTTACTTCACAGGTAAATATCCCAACAACTGTTTATCTCAGCAACACGAAATTTCTTTTGCAATATTTTGTCAATGACATCTTTTCAAAAATGCATTCATATGTATTTCAAAAATTTGATGTCACAGCACTTTATTTTTAAACTGCTTGTAGTTTTAAGTGTCTTGGGCGTTCATAGAAATGTTTTTACCAACTTTTAGCCAAGATTCTGACGTTTCTGTAGAAACCACACGTCTATGCCTAACTAAAAAAAACTAAAAAGAAATAAAAGTAGAAAACCGGGAGTGAAGAGATTAATTTATAAAATTGGCAGACCAGATTTTGGTCACCAGCAGGCCTGATGTGGCCTGCAGGCCGGCAGTTGAATAGCCCTACAATAGGGTGTCAGTGGTGCAACAATACATGTACATGTATAAAACATCTCAATACAGTACTTTAGGTTCAATACACACTTTGTTTCAAACAATACAGATTTTTAAAATTTATTTTATCAACTTTTTAATCAAATGTTAATAATTAATTTCAATAAATTTCAAGTTAATAAGGGCATGGAAATTTTTCTTTTTCGTGTTGAAAATATATCAAACCGTGACACTAAAGCATCAAACCAAGCTGTGAATTTTCTGTATTGCTGCTAATATTTATAACTCTCATGCAACCACAATAAATTCTCTCTATCCATGAAATGCCACAAATCAGGGTAGTTTTTTTCTCTTAACGACGACAAGATGGAACAAAAAGCCAAAGTGAAAGAGAAAAGAAATACTTTTTGCATTTTTTTAAATGTAAGGAAAAATTGTTACTGCAGTAAAGTATAAATAACCAAACTTTCTACTTAAAGTATTTGTACATCATTACTTGTCACCTCTGCTTGTTACAGCTCAGCATTAGGTGATAAAACAAATACTACAGATCTCTGCTGCATGTTATTATAAACTAATGTTTTTAGATCTCTATCTCTCAGGTACAGCTGCAGTGCTACTACTTATCATATCAAAGCCAGCTCACTGATTCAAGGGTTCAGCTGACCAGAAAAGCATGAATTAATGTTTTTTTTTTTTTTGCTAAGCAACATGATGCAGCTAACTGTGTGCAGATACAGCGGCTTCTATCGCAGGGCCGTGTTTCACGGTGGATTGTGGTCCATTCTTGTTTAAACACGAATAGATTTGTTMGACTAATTTTGAAAAGAGCAAGATTTGGGACTCGAGTGCGTCGGGGATCCGGCGGACTCGATGGCGAGGCGTTCTTCCCGACAGGATGTTCTCCTGCTCATGTTCGTGTGGTGAGAAGGAAGCATCGCGGGAGCAAGAAGAGAAGATGAACGAGGGCTTGGACCGGGATAAGAGGGGATCTGGTGAGAGGAATGTGGTCCGGATTAGGGCGGAGGATCTGGGGATGGTTAACGGCGGCTTCAGCCTGGCCGATGAGGACCCCGTGACCCCGATGAGCAGTGAGGCCCACTCATCCAGCTCCGAAATAACTTGGAAACAGAAACGACTCGAGGCTCCGTCTTGGCTCTCTGTGCAGCCTCAGGCTCAACTGACAACCACCCACACCACTGCAGAGGAAGAGGAGGATCTTCTGCTGTGTGATGAAGGCACAGATAACACACCTGGTTCTGGAGTTCTCCTGATGACACCTGAAATCAACCTGATCCCGCCCACGCCCTCTAATGTTAATGATGGTAATCAGTTCTTCTGCAATAATTCGGAGGAAAGCGTGACACATGTGTGCGGTGAGGGACGCCCTGCTGCAGGTGACGGAGAGGAAAAAATCAAAAATGCTGAAGAGTCATTGGCGGGACGCGTGCCGGCTGAAGTCCTTACGGCCGAGGCTGAGGGTGGACCTGAACAGGACGACGGTCAAAGTGGAGAGCTCACAGAACAGAACGAGTCAGAACCACTGGAAAAGTGGGATAAAGACCAATTTAAACCCAAGTTATCATGGAGCTCTCACCAGCTGGCTCCTGTTCGCGTTGGTAAAAAGAAAAGTGAGTTTTAGTTTTATTTGACAAATAAAGAAGGATTTACATATAACTAATGATTTATTTACACCAAACAAACTCAAGGTGTCTCTTTGGGAAACAAAATTTTACAGGAGCCAACATGTTTTTGGAACCAGTGGATTTTGAGTTTTTGGCCCCGCCCCCCCATACAGTCATGGTGTCAAATAAGCTTTATTTTAAAGGGGACATATGCAAAATCCACCTTTTTAGCTGTTAAATGCATTTTGTTGTTTGCTTGGAGTCTTTAAGAGTGAAGAAAATTTGAATTTAGTTTCTCCTGGTGCTGCATAGATATCTTTATTACCTCCGCCAAGGGCGAGGTAATGTTTTCGGTCGCGTACAGTGGTTTGCAAAAGTATTCATACCCCTTGAACTTTTCCATATTTTGTCACATTTAGGCCTGTCACGATAACAAATTTTGCTGGGCGATTAATTGTCTCAAAATTTATTGCGATAAACGATAATATCG